CACTGGTCTTCGCAGGTGTCTGAGTGCCAGAAAGTGGCCTGGAAAACGGTCCAAAAAACAGCTTGAAAACAGCTCCTAATCAAACAAAAACGCCCCCAAAACAGGCATATGTGCGCCAGCCAGCTGGTCTTCAGGTTTCCAGTGCTCCGTGAACATGAGCTGGCCGGCAGGCATGTGCGTGCCAGAAACCCAAAGACCAGCTGGCTGGCCCACACATGCACATGCATGTACACATATGCACATGCGTTCTGGTTTGGGCATTCAATGCCGAAAAGATTCACATCACTGAACTAGGAGATAAAGAAGGAGAGCTATTTATTTATGCCAGAATTCTAGTGGTAAGTGCATCACATAAAAGGTAAGATCAAAAATACTAGATTACCAATGCAAAAATATGTCTATAACAGAAAAAAACCTAGGTGACAATGAAAAGCTACACATTTGAAGAACAGAAGAGAAATGAAACTCCAAAAGGCAGGGTTGGAAATCTGGACTATTTTTGCCCATTTAATTGCTATTTAGAAAGCATCCAATTTATTTCTATTGATGGACACTTTAAACTCATGAGATGACAAGCTATAATATAATATAAACTCATGAGATGACAAGCTACATTTAACACAAAAAACAAATTAGCATTTCCGTGGCTTGGTGAAGTGTGCACTAGCCAGCGGGGTTGACCCTAATTCCTGTTTTCTGCTTCAAGGCCCATGTAATCCCTAGCAGAGAAGCTCTGCAACTTTATTTTTTTCAATACATCTGTTAGTTTGGCACATCATCTGTGACCATGTAGCCCATCCTTAAAACAGATGGGAAAGCAACTGAATCACAACAGATGAATGATAAATCAGGAAATGACTTTCAGTGCCTCTCACTATGGGGTGGGGTAGAAAATATTTAAGCTTCATTGTACTTGTTTACTATTGCTCTATTCATTTGTCTGTGATTACCTTCAAATAGTTCACAAGGAGAAGCTAAGGGCTCATTTTAGTGATAAAGGCAGTGAGGGATACTACAGATGACAAAAATGCATTATAACTTATATATTAACAGCTTTAAAAGGTGATCATCCTATTACAAAAGGAAATGCACTTACCTGAAGACTTATGATGTCAGCATTACAACTCAAAATTTCCTGCATTATAGCTTTTTTCCTGTATTCCCAGTTCAGTGCCCATGATGGGCAATATCCATATAGCTGCCGAGTAGCATACTTATCACACAGAACATTGTAACACATGACAGAAAACAGAGCTGGAGAGAAAAAAGTTTCACTCAGACCATTTTAATAAATAAATATATATTCTAATAAATATATTTTTAAATATTTTGTCTAAATTGTACTACAATTTATATTTAAAAAGCAAGTATCCCTGCATATCAAACAAACCTCACCTCCACCCCACATTGCTGCTTCTTCCACCTAACTTTAAATCTCACATTACTGTATTTACATTGTTTTATTATTTTGCTACTGTTATGTTTACACTTGTTTTTATTGTTCTAAGCTGCCCAGAGTAGTTCTACGGTGAGATAGGCAGGAGATAAATTTAACAAACAAACAAATAAATACTAAATTATGGAATATAATTCATATACTATGTTTTGGTTTAACTGTTGACCAAATCTTGTAAATTAACTACTTTATATCGTAGCTTTTGTGAAATTGTTATTTTTAAACATGACCAATTTTTTAATCAGAAAAGAATATATCTTTTTTTAATCTAAGTAAAACACATATAAACATACACCAACCCCATTTGGGGTTTTAATTTGTACTGCCACACTTGTGTTTAGAATAAATTGCAAAATTTTGCAAAATCTTTTTTGTAACAGCCAACCCAAGACCACTTTAACTTAAGAACTAAAGAAACTTTTCTCTAGAAAAAAGATAAGGTTTATATTACTAAATTACTCTTCCTGTATTTCAGACCTAAAATACCGTATTTATCGGCGTATAACACGCACCGGCGTATAACACGCACC